CCCCCCCCTACAGTACGCCTTAACACTCAATCTCTACTCTCCTCGCCCGTATCCTGTCTACCAAAGTGGAACTCCCTGTACGATAATGCAATAGCCATCTCGGAAGGAGCTAGTGAATGAACGGCACTCGGCTATAGAAAGTTTGCGAGAAAGTCTCTTTCCCGTTTCGCTTGGCAGCCCCCGCGCGTTTCTCGTCCTTGTTCCTCACGTGAAATTCACAAGGTGTAGTTACACGGGCTGGTAGCACACGTATGCTTTACATGATGGGGGGGAACAGGAGCATACGTGGGGGACCAGTCTCGTTGCATGAATGAAATAGCGATTTCCACAAGCATTCCTTCATCGCAGCCGCAGTCAGCCACTCCGATCCTAAGGTGTATGGCTAATAACTCGAGGAAAAAATAAATCAGGATCGTACACGGTAAACCCGGGTGCCTTGTATATATCGGCGCGTCGAAAGATTTTTTTTTCAAATCGCTTAAAAAAATACCACGCGTATCTCGAGTTAGTCCAGGAGACGTCAAGGTGAGTCTCCGAGAGAGCTATTGCGGCGAGAAAACCTGGAGCACTGGCTTTTGCTGCATAAATAATATCGCTAGTTAGAATCCATCCTAGGGGGGATAACGGAAGGGAAGAAGGAATTACCGAGCTAAACGATGAACCGGCACCAGGAGTTCTCAAGCCAAGTCAAGGAAGGCCATTCATAAAACATGAGTTTGCCAATCATTCTCGGTGATGTATAGTAATTTGGTATACCATAGGAGAATATATATATATATATATATATTATTTACATTTTCCTCGCAGGTCCTCATGATTTTTACCTTAAAGGACTTGCTCGAAGATAGACATATAGACACGTATTTTCACACATCCTGAATTTATCCTGCGTTAACCAATCTCCTACCACCACCCTGTACACTGCTGGTACATTGCCAGAAGTATCAAGGCGCATCCACAGCGGTGCGGTCCTCCCGTGAAATCTTGGAAACCGATCTGTCGCTTTGAAGCGACCGGATTCCGAGGAGAGTGCTGAGCCCCGGAGTAAGAAGAGGCGAGATAGGGAACCGAAAACGGTTTCTTCGTAAGAGACCGTGAGTGGGAGTGAGACGGTGATGCGCGGAGATGGCGCGAGTGCGAGAGAGACAGACGGATCGAATTCGAATAAGAGACAAATATATGGTCAGGAAAATTTTTCAGATTCCACACGGTTTTCATGAATACGTGTAATACGGTGATTATCGTTGTTTTCTTTATTTCTCTCTCTCTCTCTCTCTCTCTCTCTCTTTCTCTCTCTCTCTCTCTCTCTCTCTCTTCGTCTCCTTCTCTCCTATACAGTTTAAAGTAAATTAATACAAAGCGAATTGAAGTCTCTGGATGGTAATAGAGAATGGTAAATGGGGAATGGGCATGCGCCACGCTATCTATGTTTGCCAACCCTCTTATCTTTGTTTCGACTCCTCTCTCGGCTCTCCTCGAACTTCTTCTGATGCTTTAGCATCTCTTGCTCTCTCTCTCTCTCTCTCTTTCTCTCTCTCTCTCTCTCTCTCTCTCTTCGTCTCCTTCTCTCCTATACAGTTTAAAGTAAATTAATACAAAGCGAATTGAAGTCTCTGGATGGTAATAGAGAATGGTAAATGGGGAATGGGCATGCGCCACGCTATCTATGTTTGCCAACCCTCTTATCTTTGTTTCGACTCCTCTCTCGGCTCTCCTCGAACTTCTTCTGATGCTTTAGCATCTCTTGCTCTCTCTCTCTCTCTCTCTTTCTCTCTCTCTCTCTCTCTCTCTCTCTTCGTCTCCTTCTCTCCTATACAGTTTAAAGTAAATTAATACAAAGCGAATTGAAGTCTCTGGATGGTAATAGAGAATGGTAAATGGGGAATGGGCATGCGCCACGCTATCTATGTTTGCCAACCCTCTTATCTTTGTTTCGACTCCTCTCTCGGCTCTCCTCGAACTTCTTCTGATGCTTTAGCATCTCTTGCTCTCTCTCTCTCTCTCTCTTTCTCTCTCTCTCTCTCTCTCTCTCTCTCTCGCTCTCTCGCTCGCTCGTAGACCGACTCGCCCAGTCGTTCGGTCGCTCGCGCACGAGTCCACAATCTACATTCATCATTATGTTGTCGCGTCACATCCGGCCTGTGTCCGTTCCTTCGGCTTTATCTCGCTCGAAACAGATACCGGGCGAGGTTTCTTAAATTATCAGGGCTGCCGATATATCAGCGAGCCTACAGCTCTCTCGTTCCAGCCTCCACGTATTATTACATGTTCACGTTGGACGCGCCTATTACCTTGGTAATATTTGTGTTTACTACGTGTCGCAGGTCGTAGTACCGAGTAAAAAGGAATGACCGTGGATGAAAAAAAGGAGAGTACGGAGATAGAGTGATCTCCGAAGATAAATGGACCGTGGGGAAGGAGGATATGCTCTGTTTAAAAATATGGATAAAATGAGAGAGAGAGAGAGAGAGAGAGAGAGAGAGAGAGAGAGATACGTACGATGAAATTTATCTGTACGCGAGGATGCTCCAATGTCAATGGGGGATATAAGGAATGTTGAAAAAGGGGATGGAGAGAGGTCGAGGAGGTCGAGGAGGTTGAGGATCACTCAGAGTCGAGGCCTGGCAGCGGTGCGCGGGACACCGAAAATAGTTTTTTGACGTGTGTTCGTTCAGTGGTGCCAACCGGCAGTGGGTGTAGGATATTGTTAGGGCAGTGTGAGTAACGCGTAACCTCGTGCGTATTGCGTACGCGTTACTGGTATTGGTGGTGCGTGTGGGTGGGTGGG